TAGGTGGAAACACAACAACAAAGTCTGGTACCCACAGTAGCTCTGTATCTGTTCCCTCACCTTCTACCTTCTTCTAGGCACTGAACACTGGAACACAAACATAAGGACACCAGCTGTGCAACCTAAGGGCTGGAGGGTTGGCTCCTGTCCTGTAGCGGAGCTGGTCACATGGGAGTGGTGGCTAAGAGTGACTAGGGAGAGCAGGGTTAGGAGCAGAGGAAAGGCTTGCGAATGGCAGGAGATGGAGTGGGGCCCTTATGGGACCTTGGGTATTTGTCCCAAGACAGTTAACTCTATAAGCCACTGTCCATCCTGGACACAGTAGAGCCCTGCCAGGACAGGGAGGTGGGCGTGCAAGGAGGAGGGACAGGGAGAGCTAGGGGGGCAAAGCAGAGGGGGCATGCTAGACCATGGGAGTCGCATGTTCTGTTCCTCTTCTTCCCCCTTGCTCCCAGGGCGACATATAGGCTCTCCACCCATCCTGAGCACCCATAGGGGTCGGGGGTGAGGCCACAGGAAGGAGTGATTGACAACATGACCTGAGTCCAGCCTTTTCTCCAGGCCCGGTGCCATCCTCCCCATCTACCTTATCTGGAGGATGAACATGCAGGTATATCCAGATGTGCCACAAAAGTTGTGCAAGCTTAGAGTTTTGCTGGGCTGGCACACAGGCATTCAACACCCAGCTGAATGTGGGTTATGCAGAGGGCAGAGTGGAACCGGCGAGGGGCAGGGAAGGAGAGGTGCCATCCAGCCCCAGGCAGAGGAGGCTCCTGGGGCAGGGGACTTTGAAAGGGCTGAACCAGGAGCAGTTGAAAAGTGGACTAAACGAAGCAGGACCCTGGGGATGACCTCCAATCAGCCCTTGGGGGACTAGCTTTGTCTTCTACCCCAGGGCAGGGGGTGAGGTCTGCCCCACTTCATTCTCTGGTCTTGGGACCTAGCAGAGGGCCTGCATACAGCCAGTGCTCAGACCGTGTCTACCAAATTGATGCAAATAACGTCCCCAAGCAAGGAAGGCAGGGAATTTCCACCACAGAGAACAGAAGCCACTACCTTTCACTGGGGACAGAGCACGAGCTGGGCACCGTGCCAAACACTTACATACGTTATTCTAGGTAACCCTCTCAGAACCCGTGAGATGGTCCTGCCGTCATTCCCATCTTGGCACTGTTGAGAACAGCCCTGGAGGAGGCAACGGCCTGCCCCAGGTTGTGCAGGTAGGATGGCAGGCCGGGCTATTAGCTCCCACAGTCACCGCTCTTTCCACCCGGCTCTGGAGGGCCATGAAGACACTGGCCCACAGGACAGAGCTGCAGACAAACGCTCCGTCCAACTGAGGCCACATCAACGAGGGAGGCCAGTAACCAGCCAGGAAAAGGCTTTGAAAGCGGCCTGCACTGGGAGCTTCTCAGGGCAGCCACGACCCTGGGTGCCCACTCCGGGGTCAGAGGACAAGCAGCTGATTCGCACCAAGGCCCCGTTCTCTCAGCTCAACGGGCTTTTGTCGACTGCAGTTTGCAGGCCTAGAGATTTATTTCCAGTCTGGTTTGAAAACACTGTGTCCAGGGCTCTCCAGATGGGCACTTCTGGGGCAGGGGGAAATTCGTAATGCCTTTTAAGGTGACCCAATAAGACTTTCATGAGCAGGTTTCTGTTTCTTTCCACACGGTGGGCTGGGAGGCAGTGGGCCTTGCAGCTCATCCACCCGGGGCCATTATCTCCACTCAGCACCTCTCCCACTCCTGACCACGGCAGAGGGTCCTGGAATTCCAGACTGCAGCTTCCCATACAACACAACCAAAATTCCACACACTTCTTTGAAGCACTCCTTTCATAGAGACAAGTAACTTCCTCTTAAGGCCGCTGCTTGTCCAGCTGACCCTGGAGCCCCAGTCCTCCTCCCCATCCTGGCCACTGGGTGAGACCACAAGTGGGATACCCCCTCCTGATGGCCCCAGGAATCTGCTGATCAACAATGACGAGGGTTAGGCCGGCCCCGTGGCTTAGCGGTTAAGTGCGCGCGCTCTGATGCTGGCGGCCCGGGTTCGGATCCCGGGAGCGCCCCGAGGCACCACTTCTCCGTCCAACGCGAGGCCGAGTCCCACGTACAGCAACTAGAAGGATGTGAACCTATGACGTACAACTATCTACTGGGGCTTTGGGGGGAAAAACTGAATAAATAAAATCTTTAAAAAAAACAATGACGAGGGTTCCGTAGAAAGGACCCCAGGCACAAACTGGACACTCCACTTCCACAGATTTTGTCTTAAACCACAGACATAGCCCAGAGTCCCTAGGCATCCAGGCCCTGGTGGGGCTCGAGTGGGAATTCACCAGGGGAGGGCAGGTGGCAGGAAAGAGGGGTATAGTCTCCAGTTCCATGCCTCTCCCTGTTCTGTGAGGGAGGGGCCCTGGTGCCTCGTGCCCAGCATCCCATAGTCACCACCGGCCCGCCCAGAATGGGCACACTGCCAGAACATCTAAACAGCCCCCAGGGATGAGGCAGGAAACCGCCTCAAGCCACACTTGGAGAGTGAGCCTGTTCAGTCACCAGGGTATTCCTCCCTGGGGCTCCCAGCCTGCTGGGAGGACCTGCGGTGGGTACCAGGGCCAGGAGGCAGCCCAGTGAGGCGAGCACTGCAGGGTGTGGTGCAGCTCAGCGAAGTGTGGATATATGCTCACAAGTCCAGGAGTTGGGGTGCTACTAAATTATTCCAGGGCTTTGGTGGGACTGGAAAAAGGGGTCCCCTCTGGGCAGACCCAGCCTCAAGAACACAGCGGGAAGGTCTTTTTCTCTGGGACCCACAGCTTGGAGAGCAGAGTACGGACTGCATTTCATGTCCTCTCAACCCCCCAGCTACGCACCTCTGCACAGTGTGCAAAATGTGTGCTGTCCATGGCCATCCTAACAGGTGAACCCGAGTGTCTTAGTCCTTCGGGGGTTAGGATTTTAACATATGAATTTTGGGGGGACACAGACACCAAAACCACAGCACCAAGTGACCTGTGCAGGGGGTGCTGGTGTGTGACAGAAGCCTGTACGACGGCCCGGCAATGGTCACGAATTTGTGGAAGCAGGACAGGTCTTGCAGCTGTGTGGGTAATAACAACCAGTGTTCTTGCTGCTCTCACGAAGCAGGGCTTCTCGGTTCCTCCTCGCAGCTCCCCAACTCTGCCTTTTAGTCACCCTATGAGCGGTCCCCGTCCGGTTTCAGAGCTGGACACAAGACCTGCTGCATTTGACATGGCCCCGTGAGCTAGCCCAGCCTTCCCAGGGGCACACGTGGAGTCCATGGGAGCATGTGCCCCACCTCACACCACCTTCTCCCAAAGCTGAGAGGGTCTAAGGGCAAAGGGAGTCGTGGCCACAAGAGAAAAAGCAGCAAGGCAACAGGCCTGGTCCGGAAACACCTGTTTACCCTCACTTAACAAGCTGGAGCACCCAAGGGGCTGAGGTCAAACTAACACACCAGTACCGCCCCCACCCAAGCAGAATCACCCCAGCTCTGAGCAGGATGTGCCACAATGAAGCCTTAACATAGCATAACATGTGCTTAACATAACAACAAGGACAGCTGACACTTACTGAGCAGTTTCTATGCATCAAGCACCGTCCCAAGGACTTTTCAAACATAAACTGATTTAATCCTCACAACCTTGAGGTAGGTGCTATTATTATCCCTATTTTACAGATGAAGAAATCAAGACCCAGAGAGGTTAAGCAGCTTGCTCAAGGCCACCTGGCTAGCTAGTGGCTGAGGCAGGATCTGAACCCAAGCCATCTTCTCAGTACTATCCTGCAGTGTTTCAAATGGGGTTTCTCAGGGCCACTAAGGCCCTGACTTAATTAAGTGCTAATTCTGCTACTCTTTCCTTTTGTAAATAGAATGATTTTAGGGCTGGCGATGCTGTAAAAGAGAAGGAAGGCTGGTACAGTTTTAGTCTGCAACCTCTGATTTATACATCCTTTATTCTAATTCGTACAGTGTGACAACCAACAAGTTAAAAGGACCTGGAGAAACAACATCTATTGGGCACCCATATACGGTGCCCACATATTACACCTACTTGCATGAAATCTCCCAGAGAGCCTTGTAAGGTTATATATGACTGTGCCCATTTTAGAGATGAGCAAACTGGGGCACGGAGAGAAGGGACTTACTGGCGCAGTAGTAGAAATGGGCTTAGAATACAGGTCCCTCTGATTTCAAAAAGTTGGAGAAGCAACCAGATTAAAGGGGGTAAGGAGAGGGGAGAGCTAAGGGCTGGAAAGCGAGGGGCCACAGAAGCAGCTGTGAGCACCAGGGAGCGGCCCGGCCAATGAGGACGGAACTCCCAGGTCACTCCGAGACGGAGTCCCTTCCAAGGCCTGGCAGTCTCGGCGCCCAGAGCTGCCCGTATCCCTAGTATGGTCGTTCCCAGGTCCTGGGGGGAATCCCACTACGTCCGGGCCGGGGGTTGCGCCAGCCTGCCAAGGTGAAGGGGTGGGGAGGGAGGCTGGGCACCGGGCGGCCGCGGCTCCGGAGTCCTGCTGCGACTTGCTGGATACCAGAACCCCAGTGTTTACGGGACTGCAAGCACGGCCCCTCCACCCCGCGCCGCCCTCGGGGGCGGCACCGCGGCTGGCTCTGGTGAGCATCAAAGACAAGCAGATGGGCAGGCGGACCGGCGAGTAGCCAGCCCGGGGGGGCCGCCGCCGCCGAAAGGGCGCCCTACCAAGGGGCGAGCAGGGGCCACAGAGCGGGCGAGAGACCCCCTCCCCGCCCATTAAAAGAACAGAAGAAAGGGGCTCGCGGCCCCAGCGCTCCCCTCTCCTCTCCCTCCCTGCCTGCAGCGCTTTGAAAGGAGGAGGGGTCCTAACAGAACCCATCCCTCCGACATGCTTGCTCCCTCCTTCCCTCCTTTGTCACCGCTACCTCCGCGCGAGGCACCTCTCCGCCCGCCTCCCCTCCCCCCGACCCCAGCCCGCGCCCCCGCGGGGTCGCCCCAGCACTCACCCAGCGGCAGGCTGATCCGAGGGGCGAGCGCCCGCGTCGCAGGCGGCGGCGGCAGCAGCAGCAGGAGCAGCAGCAGGAGTGGCGGCCGGTGCGGCAGGGCGGGCGGCCGGCTCCCCTGGCCCATCGCGGCGCGCCTGACTCGGACAGCGGGAGCGGCGGCGTCCTCCGGCTCAGGTGGCTCAACTTGACTCTCGAGCGGCGGCTCCGCCCCGAAGTCCGGCCCCGAAGTCGCTCGGCGGACCCCCGCCTCCGGACCTGGGGGGGTCGGGATGGGAAACGGGGTCACGTGGGCGCCGCGAGCGCTGGCCCCGCCGCCCCCAGCCCCGCAATCCTCCTGGCCGCCCAGCTCCGACGAAGCTCGCCCGCGAGCGCGGGAGGGAAGGTGGGAGGGAGAGAAGGAGGGGCCGAAGGAGGAAGTTGGGCGGTTAATCCTGCCTCTCCCTGCTCCGCTCCTTGCCCAACCTGCCCCTTCCCCCTTCCTCCTTCCCGGGCGCGGGAGGCACAAGGGGTGCCCGCTCGGTGCACCTAGCTCGGGGCGCGCCTTCAGGGGGCCAAACCCCGTGATCAGTAGCGGCTGAGGCCGCGGGGGCGCGGAGGAAAGCAGACCCCTACTTCCCCGCCCCCACTACTCAGACCCTCCCACTGCCGTCCCAGCCCCTTCCGGCTCCTCTGCGACCCTCTGAGCGCGTTCGTTTGGGAAAACGTGGGGGGTCTCTCCACTGTGCGCCTGGTGAGGGTCAGGTTTTGGGCTTCTCCCCCCGCCTCCCCTGCTAATGCTCCTGATACCCACTTGTCCATGACCAATGAACTCGGCCGAGCTCGTGCTGACGCCGGGGCTCGGTACTTCTGAGTCTCATTTCTGCATGGGACAGCCCACTTTAGGGCTTGGCCGCCGTTCACTGCAGGCTCGGCGCTTAGTCTACAATTCTGTCCACGCGAAGCCGAACCTCGGGTGGGAGCGCGGGGCAAGATTAGCTTAAGTGGGATAATAGGATGTAACGTACACACCACCTGCACGTGCCGGGGAGAGGACTCCCTCAGGCTGGACGAGAATCCCAGAGGCACTCACCCCTAGTCCTCCTAGCTCCTAAGATCCCCAGAGGGGGAGCTCAGTTCTGCGGGGACCAGGGGTATCAAAATGCAGACCCCTCAGTGGGTCCTGAAGTCAATTTACTGGATCCCCATCAGCATTAAAAAAGAAACAGAATAGACAATATCAAAGTGCAATGATCACAGAAAGGATAAGCAAGCTTTGGGAAACCTGTTTCAACTTTCCCTAAGTGTGCACAGGATCACAGTAAAATGTAATTCTTCCTGTGGTTCGAGTCAAAAGGAGTTGGAAAACCTCTGCTAGTCATTTCCATGGCAGTGGGGACAGTTTCTCCAGGAATTAGCTGCAATGGCTGGAAAGATGCCCTTCACCCCCAGCAAAAATGAGCGTGCTCAGAGCCACCACCTTTTGCTCTCATCCCACCCCTGGGCCTGCCACATCCTCTCCCATAGGGTGGCTGTCGGGGGTGGGCACAGTGTTCACATCATCCTAGGTCTCCTCTCTTGCAGCCAAGTTTCCTCATGCTCCATGATTTCTGCCCCTCCACCATCCTGACACCCTTCTATGGGCGTGGTTCAGGCTAGCAGCACCCCTTTTAAAGGGGCACCCAGCACTGGACACAGAATTCCACATGGGATGTGGGCAGCACCAACCACCTGTAGTTCTAGCATTGCCCAGGCCTTGGACACTCACCTCTATTAATGGTGTCAATCCATCTTTAGCCAACGATGCCCAAGCTTCTATCTGCAGCCAGGACCTCTGTCCTGAACTCCAAATGGCCTCCACATTTCTACCAGGCTGTCTTGTCTGACAGGCATCTCAAATACAACATGTCCCAAACTAAGCTCCTGATCGCTCCCCTCTCACTCCCCAAAATGTGCTCTGTGTGAGCCTTCCTCGTGTGATTTCATGGCAAGTCCATCTTTAAGTTGCTCAAGTTAAAAACTTGAACTCCTTTCTTTTCTCTCACTCCTCACATCCAATCCACTAGCAAATCCATAATCTGACCACTCACCACTTCCCAGGGTCCCAGTGACCACCCTCTTTCTCCTATTTACTGCAAAGGCCTCCTTATTGGTCTCCCTGCATCCACCTGGGCTCCCCTGCAGTCTGTTCTCAACTTAGCAGCCAGAGTGAGTCAAAACCAAAGTTGGGTCACAGCACTCCTCTGCGCAGACCCTCCAGTGGTTCCGTCTCACTCAGAATAAAAGCCAAGACCTCACAGTGGTCGGCAAGGCCTATGTGACACACACATGCACGCACGCGCCACCAATGCATCCTCTACTGCCCCTCCCCCCTCACTCTACCCCAGGCACTGCTGCGTTAGGACCTTTGCCCTGGCTCCTCCCTCTGCCTGGAGCATTCTTCCCCCAGATAGCCAAATGATTGAGTCCCATGTTTCCTTCAAACCTTTGCTCAAAGATCACCTTCTAGAAGAATCTGAACTTCCGCAACATTCCCCTTACCCTGAGATTTTTTTTTCTTTTTTTTTTTGTGAGGAAGATCAGCTCTGAGCTAACATCCATGCCAATCCTCCTCTTTTTGCTGAGGAAGACTGGCCCTGGGCTAACATCCATGCCCATCTTCCTCTACTTTATATGGGACGCTGCCACAGCATGGCCTGACAAGCAGTGCATCTGTGGGCGCCTGGGATCCGAACCAGGCCGCCAACAGCTGAGTGTGCGCACTTAACCGCTATGCCTTGGGGCCGGCCCGACCCTGAGATATTTTTTTAAGCACTCATCACCTTCTAACATACTATGTGATTTGCTTATTTGTTGTGGATTTTCTTTATTGTCTGAACTCCCCACAGGCCCCCACACCTCCAAGAATGTTGACTGCGGAGGGCAGGGATTCTTGTTTACTGGGCTTGTTAAGGAACATATCCGAAGCCTCTAGAACAGTGTCTGGCACATGACAGGCCCTCAGTAAGTACTGGCTGAATGAATGAATGAAAGAACACAACCTAAGAGTCACCGAATACTGCTGGCTCACCAAATACTGCTGGCTCATGTCAACTAACAATCAGACCTGCTTTTTGATATTGACTGTGGTCTAGTAAAGAGTTCCCCCAAACCTGAAATTATGCAATTCACTTTTTCAACCTCAGCACAGGACTTCATATTGATCGCTTTTAAATCTATTGGTTCTGGTCCAGATTTCATCCTATTGAGGTCATTTTGAATATTGATTCTATTATCATTCATTTGGCTTCTCCTCCCAGTTTTGAGTTATCTGTAAATTTGTAAGCATTCCTTAGCCTCTATTCAAGTCATTGATAAAATTATTGGCTGAGCAGACCTAGCACCCAGTTCTTGGTTTCTAAATACCACTCTTCAATAAAAAGTACCAGGACTCCCTGGGAAAACGAAAAGGAAAGTACAAGGTGAGGCCGGGACATTTTGTTGGGCCAGAAAACAAGGAAGCAATTAAAAACTAATGGGGTCATGTCAAAAGGACAAAGGGCCAGCTTGATGCCAAACTTGGGACAATATGAGCATCAAAAATGAAGTAATGGATTCTAATGCATCAAAATAAAATAATCCATCAGTCTGCAGTGAAACTCAGAGAAACACAGTGAGAGAAAGAGAAGGGGTAGAGAGGAAGCTTTTCTTTCTAGAAAAATGCTCGCTGATAAATGCAGAAGAAATGGTAGACTTAGAAAATCTAGATTTGAGCAAGGATAATCAATGCATGCTAAACCATTGGGTGGAAGATTGTTAGGAAACTATATATTAACAAGGTCTCCAAGTCTGTCCCACAGATGAGTTACTAATTACCAAAGGGAAAATGTATCTCTAAGAGAGAGCTCTGATGGCCCCCATCTTAAGCAAGTGGTCGAAAGTAGCATCACCAGTAGTGGAACCACCTAAGTCATCTACCTCCTAAAATGATGCAATAGGAAATATACAACATCATCAGTCCTTGTAGCATTCTTGTCAAAAGTGTTCAACCCAGATCTAATAATGAGGACACAACCAGATACATCCAGCTTTCTCTAAGACAACTAGCCTGGACTCTTCACAAAGGTCAATCTGGTGAAAAAAAAGACAGGGGAACTGTTTGAGGTTAAGAAACTAAGAAGACATGATAATCAAATGCAATATGTGAACCTTGATTGAATCCTGAAGAAAAAAAGCCATAGAACAATTGGGAAAAATTTAACATGCACTGTGTATTAGATGATATTATGGCATTACTGTTCCTTTTCTTAGGTATGATAATGGTGTGGTCTTAGGAGAATGTCCTGTCCCTCAGAGATGCCTGCTGAGGGTTGCAGAGTGAGGTGTCATGATGCCTGCAACTTACTTTCAAACGTTTCAGCAGAAACAAATGTGTGTGTTAGAAAGAAAGGGTGTGGGTGCGACTGTGGCAAAGTCTTAACAATTGGTTAATATAGAAAAGTCATGGGTGTTTTTCCGTTGGTGTTTTATAAATTTGTGGGGGGAAAAACTGAATGAGACAGGGCCAAAAACAGAGCCCAGTGCCACTAGGGACTTCCATCAGGGTTGACACTGATCACTATCCTTTGTAGGTTGAATGACTAGCTGTGTGTCCTGCTAACTGCACCATTCAGCCCCTACTTCTCCACATTATCCATAAGAACATTATAAAAAAACGACAAGGAATCTTGTTCAAATCAAGGTACTAACTACAGCATTTCCTTCTATCTTCTGCTTGCCACTCTTACTCAGAACAGAGCCTGATGAGTGGCACATGCTCAACTAGTATCTGTGGAGTGCCCGAACCTCCACACCAGGCAGCTCCTCAATGGCAGGAAGGCTGGTTTGCCCTCATGTCTTGGCCACACACGTGTTGTCTGACTGCTGGGCTCCTCCCTGAGGAGAGGAGGCAGGGCTGATGCAGCCTCACTTGGTGGTTAATTATGTCCTGCTCATGGCTGCTCAAATGCTTCAAGTATGTCTTAATGCCAACCGCGTGGCAAGCCCATTGAAGACAGTGACAGGTCTTGTCTTTGGAACCCCCACTGCCTGGCCTGGCACTCCAAGAGGAGCTCCACAGGGCTGACAAAACGAGGGACCCGACTATTGGCCTGGAAAAGAGCCCTCCCGTCCATGCCCCCAGCATGGCAGCCTCGGCCCTTGTGGGCTCCACTGTCTTCCGTTAGTGCGCTAATTTGTTCTCCCCAGACTGGACAAAACAGGATGACTGAGAAAAACCTCATTTGAGCTGACTTCCTGTGGGCTAGGGAGTGGTTCCCATGCCAATGCTGTGTCTCCTGCTCCCCTTTGCTACTCT